AGGACAAGGTGCGTTTCTATCAGTCTTCCTACCATTATGACTAAGTTGCGAAAACAAGGTCAAACAACTTTTATAATATATTATTCATAAAAATGCAGTTCGAATTCCTTAATTTAAAACTTGAGAATATAGCTTCTGTCAACGCCAAGTCTAACATATAAACTAAAGAAAGAGTGAGAAAATAGTCATTCTATATTTAAAACTTACCCGGTGACACCAATTGAGAGATCGATATCATTTCCAGTAATATTGGTTTCACCGACTCCAGCCAAAACACTGACCGATGAGCCATTTGGAGTCACACTCAGGCGGCTCAAATGCTCTCCAGAAGATATGGCAGAGATATTTCCACAGCCACTAAGACTAGCTTCCCCACCTTGAAGAGCATGGGGGCCTGCTCCATTTATGAATAATGGCGACGATGTATGACAACTAAGAGGGCTGTCCAAAACTTGCTGAAGTCGACTACATAAGCTGCCATTATCATCGTCATCACCACCGCCAACGGGAAAACCACCCACACAATTGCCTTCAACTCCATTTGACAATTCAATGTTTCGATGCAAATGCCATGAATTGTGATCGGCGGAGATGGCCAATGTATTTGGAGGGGAATCAGTGGAAACAGGTTGAGATGACGTTGGCAAAGCAACTGCATTAAGCTGGACAGCAGACCCAACAGTTGTGTTATAACCACAGGAATCCTCAAGGTCATCGCCGTTCATAGCACGCGTGAACTCCTCTTGCATGGCATTGTTGAGCACACAGATCCATCTAAATAGAAATAGGAAAAGAGAAAATTTGACCGATTAGAGTGAAAGGCATGCGGAAGCCACAGGGGCAAGATGAATACCAAAAAAAATGCACGGCTGGAAATTACAAAATATTTTCAATACTGAAGATAGTTCAAAAATAATGAAATCATCTTAATATTGAAGTATTCTGCGTATGCTAGGATGAAAATATTATTTATTCAAGTCGGCCCATGAAACAAATACTTTTTATATATGAAGATCAAGATTGTGTGGTCTCTACCTTTGTCGTTGCCTGCTTTTGCTTTATACAAGTGGTCTGGTTTAGTTTTCACAAGTTGGTCGTGGTGTAAGGGCGAAGATGCTGGTGAAAAGTCTGGAAATGTACCAAGTCCACATTCTGATACCGGGAATTATAATTACCAGAGCAGGGAGCTTCAGACGAGGTACATACAACTAATTATCCCAGACAGAACGACCAAGTTGTAAAAACGAGATAAAAGCATATCAAGATGCTTTTAACTCACATTGCAGTAAACATTTCTATGATCAAATGTGCATAAAGTTCCATATCGAAAACTATCTATTATTGGGCTCCCTAATAAATCCAAGGAGCATTTGTAGAACAAATGGGAAAGGACAAAATAAGTATATCCAGTTAGGGATAATGACATTCGAGTGATAGCCTAATTAATTGAGCAATAAAAGGAATGTTCGGGTGTAGAA